CTGACCCTGTTGCCTCCACCATGCCGTGCCTGTGGGCTGAAGCCTGGGCCAGCCCTACTTCTGCTGTGAATTCATGGAAAACCTACCCAGTCCTTACGTTTTCTTCTCCTAACTGAGACTCCTGGGTTGGACTGAGTTGTAATTTTATGAAACCCTGAGCGGTGAGACTGAGATCAGTGAAGAGGGCCCGAACCTCATTTTGCCCTCAGGCATATTGAGCTCTAATTCCATCTAAAAATAAATTCCCTTCCAGTGTGCATTCAGTGAGGAGCTTGACACTCAGGGCCCTCTCCTGTGGGCCCCACTTGGCCAGTTAATGGGGAGGTAAGGAGACCTCACTATCCCCTAGAGCACGCTTACACTTTTAAAGCTTACTACATACTTTGTCTCTGGGTCGAAGGTTTTTCAAAGATGACAGATACCTCTTGCCATTAGCAATCTGTACTCTGGGCAGCTCTCCATTTTCTCTGATAAAAAGTGAAATAAGTGAAAACAGTGTTTTTAAAATCTATAAATGGGTGGGAGCCAGTTGTCATTTTCCCTTTCCTTCTCCTCCCCCTCCCTTAACTGACTTAATGAGGATCCAAGTTGAGAAGCACTCACTGAAAACAGCTGGTAGCATCATGCCTTTAAATAGCCCTCGCCACGCTTCCCCTTGGCAGCACGCAGTTGGCCCTGGCAGGGAAAGCCCAGGACAGAACAGGAAACTTTAGAACTTTCTGAAAAGAGAAAAGCTTGCCTTTCAAATGTGCTCCCTCTTGCCAAGACCTTTTTGTGTAAGGAGCTTGCAGTGTTGTAGCCCCTTCCCCTAGTAGTTTCCAAGGAAAATCTGAGCTGATGAGGCTTGCCTTGGGACCCAGTGTGACTCTGGGCCTGGGGAGGTAGGTGGAGAGCTCCCCGGACCCGACCCCTGCCCAGCTCAGGCCAGCACCCAGGGCAGCAGTGGTTCCAGCACCATCTGCTCATCCGGCACCTGTGGGGGCTACAGAGCAGCTCAGCTGCAGCCTCTCCCCTTGATGTTTGTAGCTGTAAGGTCAGGGAAGTTGGCGTCCTCACCTCTAACTTGGGGCACATTCGGCCCTCCCTGAAAGTGATACTGGGATGGGCCAGACTCCGCAGTGCACATCAGGTCACAGAATCCATGCAGCAGAGGTTGGTGGCAGCCTGTCGATCTCAGACCCTCTGGAGAAGTGGGGCCACAAGACTCTCTCTAGCCGCATTTCCACGTGCTGGGAAAATAGCAGCAGGTGAAACATATGGAAGGAATAAGTGGCCCTCACGTCTGGGTAGCAGCCAACAGTTGATTGTCTCCTCCCACACATTGTCCCATGCGAGTGTGGCATCAGGTGGCCTTATCACCCCTACTCTTCGTAAGAGAACAGAGCCCAGGGCTTCTCCTGCCCTGCCCGGCCTCATCTAGGTCTAGAGCTCTTTCTTCCACATCACAGCTCTTTTGCGTTAAGGGTGACTGTGGCATGGTGCCGTTAATGGATAAGGACTATGAGGTCCTCAGTGCCGGAGGAGGTGGCGGTTTGGCTGGCTCGGGGCTGTGTTGATCACAAGTGGATGGAAGAGGGCGCTTTATCTTTCTTACTGTTGACAAAGTTTGAAATTTGAGAATGGACTGAAGTGTTCTTCCTCAGTACCTAAATACTGTACCTGTTGTCTTTCTGGGGTTGCTCTCTCTCCCACCTTCTTTTTTTCATTTTTTTCTTTTTCGTTTTTTTTGTTTTTTTTTCTTTTTTTGTGAGACAGAGTCTCGTTCTGCCGCCCAGGCTGGAGTGCCATGGCATGGGCGTGACCTTGGCTCACTCCAACCTCTGCCTCCCGGGTTCAAGCAATTCTCCAGCCTCAGCTTCCCAAGTAGCTGGGACTACAAGCACCCACCACCACACCTGGCTAATTTTTGTAATTTTAGTAGAGATGGGGTTTCACCATGTTGGCCAGGCTGGTCTTGAGCTCCTGACCTCAGGTGATCCACCCGCCTCGGCCTCCCAAAGTGCTGGATTACAGGCATGAGCCACTGCGCCCAACCTCTCCCACCTTCTTAAACAGCTTGTAATGGACATACTATAGCTGCTTCTTGCAAACTGGTGGCCATCATTAGTTACATTAAAGCCACAGCCCATCACCGAGTGCTTTCTACGCTGAGCCAGGCCTGGTGGTCACTGGGAGCAGGATGTGCTCCTGCTTTCCAGGGGCTGGCAGATAAGACCTGTGCGTGTGAGACAAGTGCCCCGGAAGAAGCACGGACAGCGTGCAGGGAGAGGACCTCCTGGGGACCAGGGAAGACTTGATGGAAGCAAGGGTATTTGTCCTGAGCATGAATAAGCCCAGAGGTGGCAAATGGCATGTGTGAGGAAGAGCAGGTAGTCAGATGAGAAGAAGGGAGAGGGAGTAGATCCAAGGCTCATATCCTGGACCATGGCCGGCTTAGGGGGCCTGTAACATCCCCGAGTTGCAGTGTGGGGAGGTCTTACCTGCAGTTTCTCTGAGGAGAGGATCCTTAACTTTCTTAGCTTCTCAAAGGGTTGCATGATCTCAAAAAACATGATAGAGGAACAGAATAGATTGTCCTCTTAATGACTTGCAGCCAGATAGTGAGAGTCATTGAATGCCAGGCTGAGAATTTGGAGGACGTTAAGGTCTTGCTCAGGAAAGGGACAGAGACTCCCACTGTAAGAGAATCAATGTAGCTGCAAACAAAGTCAAAGGAGGCCTCATGTCCAGGGGAGAAGCAGCTTCTGCAGCAGTGCCATCAAAAGATAAGACAGGAGCTATGGGAGTCACTACGGATGGAGGGACTTAGCGGCAGGAGCCTTGAGGATGAATTCGCCATAGGGGTTTAGGGAGAATGGAAACTGGTTCAGAAGGAAACTGAAGGTTCTGTTACAGAAAACCAAATTGGTCAGAGCATTTTCAGATACATGAAAGTGATGAAAACATCCATGTGGAACACTGGTGTGAGTTACAGAGTGACAGGTGGGGGGTCCCACAGGTGGTTGGAGACGTGGGACTGGAAGTTTGAGGGGAGGGAGGGCTGGGCTAGCGGTGCTGCAGGCCCAGGAGTTCCCACCTTGCTCTGCATGACCCCAAGGACGATGGCGCCTGGGAGTGCCGAAGGAGAGTCAGGGAGAGGTAGAGAGAGGCAGGACAGCTGTGGCACCACATGTCACAGAAGTCACAGGGAAAGGGAGCTTCCAGAGAGAGGAGCTGCCATTTCAGTGCTGCAGAGGCCATGGTGGAGGCCTGCACTGAGAAAGAGCCAGAGCATTCCAAGGCCAGATTGGATAGAGGGCTGCAGTTGACTTGAAGGGGGCAGGCAGCTGGTGGCACCAGCCACTGCATTTGCTCTGCTCCAGAGACGACTCCAGGGCCTGTCGGATTGCGTGGGGCTCTTTGCCCTGCGGCACAGGAACCCCGGTGAGTGCTCGTGCTCCTGAGCAGTTTTCTGTTCTCTTCTCACTGCTGCCGTGAATCCGCCTCCTGCCCTTGGGTTAGCTCCTCCACTGCGGATTTGCTGCTTCTGATCTCCTGGGAGCTGGGAGCCAGTACAGCCAGGCTCAGTAGGACCAGATCCTAAATAAAATGGACTGTGGGAGGCTCCCTGTGGGTGAGGCGATGAAGCCTTTGCAGTGCTGAGGGTGACAGCTCTTGGTGGCCCTGCCTGGTTCTCGCCACTGCTCTGAGGTGAGATTCCTGGACACGTAAGGTGTCACTGTGATTGTGTGGGTGTCGGTGGGGCGGGGCTAGAAGGCAAGCCTGGTGACCAGGAGCACGGGTGCCCACCTCCTTCCTCTGCAGCCCCTCCCTTCTCCTCCCCTCCCTTTTCTCCCTCACCTCTCAACTGACAGCACGCTGCTGCTGGGAATGCCCCTCCGCTGCCCCTTCCCTGCTGCCCGGACTGCGGCCCGCGGGACTGCCCTTGGTGCCCTGATGTGGGGTCACCCATGTGTCCATCTCCTCCACACTGCAGTCTCCCACGTGGCGGGTCCCATGGCTGGGCCACCCCGCCACGCCTGATGCCTTGTACGGTGCCTGACACAGTGTGGGCTCGGCGGGTGCACATCTGAGGTAGAACGTGGCCCTGTGTCCACAGATTAGAAACCGAGATGCCAAAAAGGCCAAATGGGCTGCCTCCGGTCCTGCCACCCCTCTTCCGCTGACTGGGAAGGTTCTCTTAACACCCAGCCTAGCTTCTTTCCAGTAGACCAGACTGCATATGCGTTTGGAAATAAATGGAGACCATGAATCATTTAGAAATTATTAGGGCTGGGTGTGGTGGCTCAGGCCTATAATCCCAGCACTTTGGGAGGCCGAGGCAGGAGGATCCCTTGAGGCCAGGAGTTTGAGACCAGTCTGGGTAATGTAACAAGACCCTGTCTCTACAAAAAAGTGAAAAAAAATTGCTGACGTGGTAGCACACGCCTATAGTCCTAACTACTTGGGTGGCTGAGGCAGGAGGATCACTTGCGTCCAGGAGGTCAAAGCTACAGTGCGCTATGGTTGGACCACTGACCTCCAGCCTGGCTCACAGAGTGAGGCCCTGTCTCTAAAAAAATAGAATGTGTTAAAAAGCTTATCAGACCCTCTGTCTTTATGAAGTCAAAGGTCCAACTGAGTGGAAAAGGCAACCTTCCTGATGCTTCAGATCTCTAAATGACTGTGTGGTTCAATTGCACACACACTGTCTTGTAGCTTGGACCAGGCCCTTGTCTTTGTCCTGAAAAAAGGCAGCAGGACCTGAGTGCAGGTATCTCATAGGAGGGCGCATGTACAGGCCCTTTGAATATTCCTGAGAGATATCACAGTAGTGAACTGCGTGCACCTCCTTGGAAAAATCCGAAGGGCTTTGCCTCAGCAGAGAAGGGAAATCCAGCCCAAGATGCATGAACAATAAATAACAACTGTTCTGAGTTAGCTTGAAAGCTCCGAGTTGCACTTTTTTTCAAGTTGTTTGTGCTAACCACAATTTTTTTTCTCCCCTTCTTTCCCACCAGGGCTTATTTCAAAACCTTTGTCCCTCAGTTCCAGGAGGCAGCATTTGCCAATGGAAAGCTCTAGGAAACACCAGTCTTGAGAGGTGGCCAGCCAGACTGCCTGTCCACATGCGTGTCAGCACACACAGCCGCTTCCTGGAAGCCGCCTGGCATGTCTTCACGGCAGCGTTTTGCTCACACAGCAGCTTTGCACACCCCAGGCAGCCCCAACTGCTGAAATCCAACTGGAGCTGGCTGGTGGTCCCTGGATCCTAGAGCCCTTCACTTCGGGTTCCTCCCTCTTTCTTGCCTCTATTTCTTAGTTGGAAGAAATAAACTCACAAATTATGGTGCAGTGATTTTCCGGGGAAAGTAAAGCATCAGGAATGCCCACACCTTTCTTCCAAAGCCTTTGTCTCTGAGACCTCTTAAGTTTTAAGATTAAATGCCCCTCGCCGTTTTTCCTCTGAAACTAGTGTCTTCCCTCTGTGCGTGCCCGTGTGTTTCATACCTCAGCATGTCCTATCTGCGCAGTCCTCCACTGTGAGAAGGAGTTACCTGAGTCAGTCTGACCAACCCGCTGGGTTTCAGTCACTCACCCAGCCTGGCCAAAAGCTGTTGCTCAATGACAAATGGGTTCTAGCACACACACCCCCACCCCCGGCCATCCATACCCTCCAGCCCCCTGTGTGGGCACCTTGTGCTCAGGCCAGCTCCACACAGTAGGTAGTCATTCAAGTTTGCTGAGTGCACCAAGGGCTCTGTCCTTCCCGCTCTCCCCTCTCCGTCCCCTCTCCCTAGGCTGATGGGAGAGTCCTTTGGGCCTCTGCAGCTCTGTGTGAATTATACACAAAGACAAAGCTTGGGTGTCGTGGGTTATCACGGGAATGTGTCTGCTTTCCGGGCTCGGGGCCTGGCGGCTGTGCAGCCAGCCAGGAACGGAGCTGGGGAAGATAGCCTGAGCAGACACCATCTTCCCTGAACTTACTGATCCTCACAGCCAGAAGGGTCTTCAGAAGTCACCTCGTTTCTACCCCGTTACTCCCTTCAGTGTACAGAGGAGAGAACTAAGACCCAAGCGTTAAGGAAACATGCAAATTAGAAACAGCAAATTAGGAACAAATCTGGGAACTTGGAGCCAGGCCTCCTTGTACCATCACACACTCCCTTAGCTGAAACACAAGATGGCTGCCGTCAACTTGACCACATCACCAGGTTTACAGTTTGGTTAACTTGGTCCTGTCCTGATGGCCTTCCACACAGGAAAGCAGGGCCCATGTACCACCCCCAGAGGTGAGGGCAAGAGCTGGCCTGGGTGCTCGCCCTGACACCCTCTGGCCTTCCCATTCCGAGGCGAAGCCACCAGCCCCTCCTGCAGGACACACACATGATTTCACAGGGCCTCTCACCTCTTCCCTTAGTTCCCTTTGTGGCTGTTGGAGCCCATTTCCACCAGGTGAGCCCAAAAGAAGTAGCCCTGGGCCCTTGTGAGGACTGGTGAGGAGAAGGCGTGCCTCTCCTTCCCGTGTTCTCTGGCACCCAGGAATGTTCTCAGGAGGCTGGAGATCAGCTGGAACAGACCTCCCGTCATGCCTGTCAGCTGGAAGCCAGCCCAGCTCTGGGTTTTTTCACCGTGTGGGTGCTATGCCCCCTACCCTGAAACTTTGGGAATTCCCAGGACAAGAACAACGGTCCAGTGTCCTGTGTCCATACGCCAGCCCTGCCATTAACTGGCTATGTGGCCTTCATTGAGTCCCTTCCTCTCCATCATATTAATACTAGGAGGAGGCTGGACTGGATCGTGGGCTCGGCTCATCAGATCACCCGAGGAGCTTTTTTTAGGAAGCTACTGCTCTGGTAGTTCCCACTGCAGGCCTGTTGACTTGGAATCTCACTAGCTGGAGCTTAGTATTCTAGATTTTGATAAAACTCCCCCAGCGATTCTACTGAGCAAGTGATCATGACCCACTAAGCCAGCTGACCACACTGGCACTGCTTCTGACCCTGGCCTGCTGACTGCCCCTCTACTCGGGGCAGCTGTGTGCCATGCCCCATGTCCCCTCCGTCCCCCCAGTAAGGCGCCGTAGCACGATCACTTAGGATTGCTAGGGTCACCCTCCCCTGATGGAGGGGTATGGGTTGGGCTCTACTGTACACAGCACCAAGAGTTGACTGAGCCCGGGCTCGCTTCTGAGCTGCAACTGGGTCTGAAGCAAGCCCAGGCTCAGTCAGCTCTTTCTGGTTCCAGTTCTAGCAGATGGTGGTTGGCACTGTGGGAGGGGGCGAGGTCCTGTGGACTGGACATCCCCTCAGCATTTCAAATAAGCATTCAGCAGTGACAGCAGCCAGTCGTGGGCAGTGTGGTCTGGGAATGTCATCCTCCTGCCCCTGCCAGCCCCTGGGGGCCCACAGACCCAGATTACGAGCAAGACCGTGCCCATCAGCGAAGCGCACACAGTCTAACGCAGAAGTTTTGCCACACACATTAGCTCAGCACACTTTACAGCAGACCTGGGCTGTGAGCAACTGAATGGGGTTGCTTTTGTTCCACAGATGAGGAAACGGAAGATGAGAGAAGCTAAGTGAGTTACCCATGATCACCAGCCGGTCACGGCCGGAGCCAAGACCCAACCCAGGCTCCTGGCTCCCCTCCAGCACCAGTTCTCATGTGAGTCCATACTCTCATGAACAAACTGAAGCTGATTTTTGTCTTTCCCAGTGAAGGATGGTGGACATTACATAGGTTTGTGAGGATAGAGATTTATGATTATTTTTAAAAGACTTTCAACTTCCTTGCCACAGGGGAGGATTTGGGCTGGTTAGAGGGGACTCACCACAAGGTGACAATCAGCACTGTATGTTTCCAGAACGAGGGACTCAAACTCCAGGGTTTTCGTGATTTTATCTTCACCCGGCAACAGCAACAGAAGCCAGTGGCACCTGTGAGTGAGTGGAGGTCACCTGTATATTTGTAAATACTTCTTGCCGGGTCAGCCTGTCATCGAGCCTTGTACCTGCACACAGAGGGCAGTCCAAGACTAATTAGTAAATGGCTATAAAATGCTTTGAAGATGAAAAGAACCATATGTGAGAGCACATTATTACTACCTAGTAAATCCTGTCTCCAGCTTACTCAGCCCTTGTAATTTAAGTGGAATCTCTCTCGCTTAGCACTGATGAGGAAAAGGACTCAGATGTGTTTACCAGTAATAGCTGATCAGGCATCTGTGAGGCCCTGGGAAGGAGGAGCAAGGGACCCCTGCTCAGCCAGTGCTCAGCTTCTTCCAGCAGCCCAGCTTCCTGAGGATGCATTGCCTACAACAAAACGACTCTCTTTTTTTTTTTGGAGACGGACTCTGGCTCTGTCGCCCAGGCTGGAGTGCAGTGGCGCAATCTCAGCTCACTGCAACCTCTGTCTCCCAGGTTCAAGAGATTCTCCTGCCTCAGCCTCCTGAGTAGCTGGGATTACAGGCACATGGCTGTAATCCACCACGCCCAGCTAATGAGACGAGGTTTCACCATGTTGGCTGGGCTGGTCTTGAACTCCTGACCTCAGGTGATCCGCCCACCTCGGCCTCCCAAAGTGCTGGGATTACAGACGGGAGCCACCACACCCAGCCTCAAATGATGCTCTATTAAAGCTCATTTTCTTGTGGAGACATGAACTAGAAAGAATATGAGGTTGAGGATGAGAGAGGAAAAAAAGAGGGGGACCTTGGTTTGTACCATTTGCCAATTTCTCTGGTGTAAACACTCCCACCATGACGGACTGCAGGCCACCAACGTGAGATCACTGGACGCAGAGCTGGGAGGAGCAGGGAGGGTCATCGTGGGAGCCTCTGCTGAAGTGAACTGGCTCCAGTGTCTGTCTTTACTTAATCTGAGTTTTGTTATCCTCATCTATAAAATGGGAATAAATACCTGCCTCCCGGGGTTGTGAGAATTAAATAAGAAAAGTACCTAAAGCACCATGTGCAGTGCTTGGCACACAGTAACGTTTGACAAACAGTGACTGTTATTACCGCAGACCAGAAAAAAGATTTTCTGATGTTGACTTTGGCCTTTTTCTAAAAAGTCAGAATGCCCCTGTTAAAAAGTCCTGCCAATGAATTTGGCCTTTGGAAAAGTGACCCTGTCTGGATTACCAGGAAGACAAAATGATGAGTCATCTTGAATTTTAATGGATAAGAGATGCGATGTATTTGTGGGGGTTCCCCACCCCCCACGCTGGTCTTGCTTAAACTCTCAGCAGGACTTCAGGCTCCGAGCAGTGCTGGAGAAGCAACAACCCAGTGACCTGTTCATCCGCCCCGGCCCCTGCTTTCCCACAGGCAAGGAAATCAGAGCAGCGTGGTTCACTTTTGCCTCGGACTGGGTTTCAGTTCCTGACAGCTCCACACTCTTGGAGTCGCAGCTGACTTGCCGGAGGGACGACTGCGTTTGGTTTGCCTCTTGCTCAGGCCTATAAATAAAACCATCCCAGAGCCTGCCCCAGTTCATGGGGACCAGCCTGTCCCATAGTTCCTAATGTGAATGTTAAGAACTTCATCTAATGGTAATAGGCCATCTAATTCTATTAATGGCATCATAGCTAATTCGTTGGTGCTCGAAAAAATGAAAATACAACCTTTGCCTTTTTTTTATGCATCTACGGTGCTTACGTGCAGGGCCAGTACAAACCCTAACCAGAAATCGGGTACGGGGTGCACCCATTGCCTTGTGTAATCCTCGAAACAACTAAATGAAATAGGTGTTATTGTCTTCATTTTACAGATAAAAACACGGAGCCTCAAAGATGTTAAAGAAATAACTTACCCAAGGACAAGAAGCTGGTATAATACACACATCCACCCATCCTACCTTCTCCCCCTTCCCCTCTCCTTTCCTTCCTTCCCTCCCTTCCTTTTTTTTTTTTATTTCACAAGGAAGTGAAGCAGGTCCCTCTGTTTCTTTCCACTTCTGTTATCCAGCTTCCCCAAATGAGAGCTTTATTGAGCATCTAATGTATACAAAGCCCTGTATAAGACATTTACACACCAGTTTTTGCCATTTTCCCTGTGAGGGGAGGGGCTTGGAGTAGCTGGGTCTGGCCAGATCACATGAAGTGGGCATCAAACCCTGGTCAGCTGGGTCCAAGGAGTTCTGTGGGGTCACATGCAACAAACTAAGAAAGACTTGGAAGTGGTCTTTGTGCCTGTGGATGGGTATGTCTATATGGCTACATATATATATAAAAATAACTTATTTTCAGGTGGCTGAGCCAGGGCCAGCCCGCAGTTGGAAAAAAATTAAAAAATAAATAATAAATAAACCTGACTTCAAAATTTGTGCCATAGTCTCTGGTTAAAGTCCAAAACACACTTGGTGGAAATAACAGCCTAATATTTGAGGAAAACAAGGTGAAAAAGTTGTTACAATTATTAAGGAAAATTACCGAGGTATTACCGAAGACAGCAGGGTCCATGAACTCAT